AGCCCCATTACTACATTGAAAGTATGGCCTTCATTTTCACTTTCTATTGTATCAGGGTTAGAGGTGTAATTTTTCCCAGTACATATATATCAAAAACAGAAGTGTACCCACTTGATGATTCTGACACCATGTATGATTTCAAACCAAAAAGATCTGGTTTACTGGGAATGTACTGCCTGAAGTGAATATTCCCTCTCCATGGCACCATTCCTTCATCAAGACTGATACACTGCTCACACGTATAAACTTCAGACAAACGGCGTGTTATGGTGTCATACAGAGGTCGGATTTTTGAAAAGAGGGTCATATCCGGCTTCACCGCGAACAACGTAGGCAGCATTATCATTGAAGTGCAGAAATTTTAAAATGAGCTTGAATCTATCCCTTGGCATCATGCTACGATTAAAAGGCGTCGAAATTATCGCATTTAGGCCCCAATAATCAAGATCGTTCTTGTGGAGCATCGACATAGCGATTGTCATGGCAAGAAAAATCTTCATCTCTTCTATGTTTACATTCTTCCACTTCCGGAGTCTGGAGTGCGGCTCCAAGTTTTCATCGTTGCGTACAAGATGATCATTTGCGTAAGAATTTGTCTGCTCAACAATGCTGATAATGTCCCCATCTTTAAGAAATAACTTGACACAATCTAATGCAGTTGCGTTTTCCCGCAATTGAACATTGAGTCCCGGAACGCCGGTGAACGGCGGTACCAAAATGTCGTTGCCACTTGCTTTCAATGACCAGCCAAGACGAGTATCGTCGGCAAGTTCCACTCCAGAATTTTCAATCTCCCACTTGGTATCATCTTTGGGATATCACCAAAATCGGTCGCTTCCGCAGTGAAACCTTCAAATTCGTATTCAGAATCAGAATCGACAAATATTTCATCCCATACAGCTTGTATTTCAGGGTCATTGAAATGCAAATTTGGTGTCGCCATTTTGATTGCGTTGCTAGTCATTCAAAGTTAGCGGTCGAGCTATGGAATTTGTACATGCAACTTGCATATTGGGCGGGGAATCCCCGGTTGAGGCAAGAATAACACACATATATGCAGGTCAAAGTTTATTTCATACGTTTTTCGCCTTTGATGATGTACTCCACATATACGTCATTCAAAACAACGCAATTTCTCAGAGGGTTGTTTACAATTATTCTTGTACTTCGCTGTGGGATTCAGACGCGTTATTACGAGTATTCTCGTACATCGCGTCTTAAGGGTTAATTATATTTGTCTCCATGTTATTATTCAGATAACTCCAGAAGAAGGAAAAGCACTTGCAAAAGGAATTACAGCACAAGATTGCTTTTACTCAACTGGTGTCCATCTAGCGGGAACTAAATATACTTACTTGAGGGGCGTAAAGGATGAAAATGTATATGCGAAAAAGGGAGACTCTGGAGTCTGCGTTGTAAAAACAAAACAAGGTTAGTTTTTCTGGTCAAATTGAGTTCTTCATTGGGTTTATGGTAATTTTGTAGATTTTCTCGCATTTTAGCTAACCAAATTAATTGGGAGTATGTTAATATACTTAAGTGGTTATCACATCTATTTCGACTCGTCCAGTTTTAGAGTAGACAACTGTGAATTCAATTTTGGAATGAAAACTGATTCATTCAATTATTTTTTTCTCTTTGCAGCTATTATTGTTGGTATCTATGTGGAGGGAACTCAACCGGGTCAAGCAACTGTAGTTGTTGAAAAAGTGGGCGACTACCTTAAGAATGCGGGTTACTAAACTTGTCATACGCAGCTGTTCTTTTTTTCTTTTCTTTTTTGAAACTGCAAAGTCAGATAATATTAATATTGGTCAGTCTGGCTGTGATATATTAGATTCATTTTTCACCACTTGTATATGTACACATGGACAAATTTGAGAGTTTGATAATCAAAACTGGATAAGCTTTGTCATTTTTATGTATTGTGTACTTGAGTTAGCCATTCTGTACCCAAGTGGGAGGGGAAAACTGGGGAGGGAATTGGGGTAAGGGAGTACGGATGAAATTTGTTTTTTTGCAACAAGTTAAGAATAATTGATAACAAAAAGAATAAGTTGTAGATTTGCTGTTTTACATAATTGTTGATGGGTGTTTTTGCATTGTCATGGTTGCTTGGGTGCGACGTCCTTAGGTGATGTGTATTGAGAAGCTTTCTGATCACTGAAATATGTAAAATACTACATCCACCATAATTTGACAATTGTGTATTCAAGCTTCCTCGTGAGGGGCCAAATTCAAATATTTGTTACAAGCACGCCATTGGCATCGCTCAAATCCAGGCAATCATTACAAATCAGAAATGTAATAAGAGGATGAAATTTCAACTACATCAAGAATTATGCATTTGGATGAGATCGCCAACATTTTTTTTTGTATCTAGCTTCATAGAGTAACTTTTTCTGTTACAGAAATAGGGCAGCTTTGCCGTAGAGTTTTGTGCCTTTGTATCGTCGCTAAATTTCTATGGTATTACCACAAAGATAGTTTTAAAAAAAAGTGAAGAAAAACATTGAATATACATACATGCATCGTATAATTTGTCGTCAAAGTTAAATTCCTGTCCATATTCTTTTTACAACGCTGCATGATGTTACGTTCCAACCTACCAATCCAATCTACCTGCATCACATGAATTAGTGATGCTCACCGCCACATTGCTGGCAAGTGACATCCACGTTATGTGCCAGGCTTGTAGATGAAATGTCAGTTCTGGATATTGTACATTATCTAATGAACATGTATGCAATAATAACAACCATGTTGTCCTGTCTTCAATTCTGTTGTCCTTGTGTTTGCATGTGCTGCACTTATTTACACAATCTGCATTTGAACTTTGGTATTCTGAGGACACTCGTTTTCTAAGCCAAAATTTCAAAAAACTGATGAAAAA